AATTTAAATATATAGGTAATATAATACATCCTAAACTGACAAATCATCTCCGTTCAGAATCATTTTTCGTATACAATGATATCTATCATTGCATTAAAATTTAACACATTCGTTTTAATGATCTATTCTCCACCCATACTATACAGCAGAACGATACCCACTTGTCCGTCTTTTTTAATAATATAATGAACATGTTATATAACACGCTACAAATAAAATAAATCGTATATGTAACTTAAACCTATTCATTATTATACATTTTCGCATATTTTGAATATATTTTGAAATATGTTACCTACATAAATAAGTAGGTATCAAGATGTTTTGTAAAATATCTTGAATTCCTAAAAATATTTATTTACGAATTTATCTATAAACAATAATCATTAATGAAATATGTAGTAAATCACAATAGAGTATCTTTGCCGTATTAAATACAATTTTTGCTATAACTTTATTAGGTATCTGCTGTTAGTAGGTAGGTAAGTATACAATCTATTACTTCAATGATTAGCTGCTATGGTTCGTTTACTTATTATTTTATTCAATACTTTTATCTTTTACATAATTCAAATCTTAAAAATGGATGTTGAGTAAAAATTTAATGTTAAATATTTCATGTTTTTTTAGCATATTTTTATTAAAAACACGAATAAATATTTAAATATTTTGATTTTTTTATTATACAAAAATCCATGGAGGTATTATACTTTTATACTCATTAATAATGAAAGCTCGGAAGTTCATGCATTTGCATGTTTTTATTGAATGTACCAAAAAAATTGATAAATCGGCTATAAATTTCAATTACCTATACCTATAGAAATCCAAATCCAAAATTTAGTTTAATCACATATTTTCAAATTTTTCGTTTTTAACACGTTAGAGTCAAATATTACATACAAGTCAACGAAATATAAATAATAACTTTAGTATTTAAATAGTTTTTTATTTACATTTATAAACAAGAAAAAAAATTCAAGGGCATATTTCAGTGTTTTTAAGTGCATATAATATGCGTGGATGCATATTACGGTACCTAGTTTTTAATGTATAAATTTTTAGACCTTACGGTTATTATCATATGCGAAACTACGGGTCAGGCCAGTCAGGCCATGGCCTGACCTAATACTGGCTGAAAATTTTTATAATGTATATTATATATTTTAATAATTATTTGGGCACATATTTTTTTATATATATTTTATTTGGCCTGACCTAATAAAAATGTTTAGTTTCGCCTATGGTTATTAAATATACATTAAAGTAATTGTGTCTAGATAATATTGAAAATTTGATACTTATGACTCATTACTCATTATTAATGATTAATGAGCAATGACATATTAATATATTTTTGTACGACTGAAATAAAGTAAATTAAATACGTTTTTAATTTGTTTTGAAACTTTAATATCCTCGACCTTAGATTAAATATATATTTTATACATATTTTGATATACAATATTATTTAATACTATGTTTATCGTAAGTAAAAATTATCTCATAAAATTTACTGTAATCATTTTCCTTCATAAAAGTGAAAAATAAATATTGACCAATTTCCTCCAATAAGAAATAAAAATAAAATGAATACACTTTTGAGTCATTTGATTGATATTAGATTAACAAAAAAAAATTAACTAATCAATTATATTAACAAATATATATTATTATTTTTTGTAATTAAAGGAAATTTCAGCTACAAATTAATATACCTATTTCAAGAAAAGATTTGTATTAGACAGCTGAATTATTATTTTACTTTTTGTAATCACTAAGAAATGTCTTCGATTAATCATGTTTTCGAGATCGGAATAGAATAGGCAACTAATAAAACATAAATACATATTATATAGGTGGTATGATAGGCTGTACTATACATACTTATATTCAAATATTATACAGTATGTATTATACAGTTTGTTATAACATAAGGTATTATGTTATAACAAATAAACAATTTTATTACAGCACTGATGTCGACTAAAATATGCACTAAATTTTTTAATGTTTGAAATAAAATAAAAATTATTATCTTTTTTTTGTGGAGGAAAATGGACGGTGGAGGTAAATAGTGGTACTAGTGGTAGGTATATATCTAATTTTTGAGAAAAAATGAAGTTATTCGTAAAATTATTATAATTGTTGCCATGCTATTCCTCGAAATTTTAAAATGCTACAGAACAACCTTTTTCCTTTTAAAAGTGACTATGAAACTAATAATCACCTGTATTATACGACATTCATATCAATTTGTTAACTACAGTCTATTGGTTGTTTCAACTTTCAACTACTAGCCGTTTCACAACTGACGGTTGAAAGTCGATATTTAAAATCCATAATTATTTTTAATTTTAGCTATATATCAGTATAAAGTATATTATATAAAGCATACACACACATTTATAATGTGTAAATGTACTAGTATAATATTTTATACATTAATTATGTATTATACTTATAGTTTAGTGCAAATACGGCTAATATATTTGTTAAAATGGATTCTAATTTCAACTACTTAGATATAATTGAACGTATTCTTTCTTTGTAGTAGAAATTATAGACTATCCCACGACGGCACGATTCACGAGTCATAGCTTCATATGTTAGGTAATATATAATTAAATATAATTAAATACCTATCGAATTAACATTATGCATTTATACCTATGTAGTATTTATGAATATAAATAATATAATAAAATAATATCATATTTATGTTTCAGTTGCAGCAGTTTGCCTTCAACTTATTCTACAGCGAATACGAACTTAGAATTTAAAAGCTAATATATAAATTTAATTTACATGTAAGAAATTAAAAATATAATAAGCAAATAATCAATAAAATCCTATATATCTATACTAATATAGATTATAAATTATAATAATGTTTAAATATAATTAATATAAATAATGACGATAAGTTATTGAAACAGAAGTACTAAGTAGATAGGTACCTTGTAGTTTGTACTTATAAATTCATAATAGTCAATATAGGTATAACATATAAATAATAAAACACTAAAAGTTAAAACCACTAGGTAAGTCATATGTACTTAGTATATTGATAAATGATAATTGTGTAGCTGTTATCATAGTATGAACTAATAAGATTAGTCATAAGAATATAAATTAGAATAGTTTTTATTGTTTTTACATACTAGAAAAAATTTTATGGGGAAAAGTGTACTGTGCATTTTAATACAGAGAGATAAAATTACTAGCATATAATATTGTTTTAACTAACAAATCAAAACATGATTAAATGGCTTACTTGTAACTAAAATTTTGTATAATATTATTAGTACGAACTTAGTAAATATTACAACTTTGTGATCGCGGTCTTTTTTTGTAATGTCAACTGTCAAGTCATATAATATTTTAGTAGTTCAAGTCTTCGTTATGTTATCATGGTAACTAAGTACTAATTGGATGTTATTCAGTATTCATTATTTGTTTGACTACTTACATAGGTATACTATTTCGAATAAATCAAGGAAAGAATATAACGATACAAGAGCTAGTAATAAGGATGGATATTATACACAGTAGCACTAATAGCAGGATATTAAAGATACATATTTATACCCGACACTTGCGGACCTATATACCTTATATGCATATTAAAGGTATTGATTATTTGGGTATGTCGTGTATGATTAAACTATAACCATTTAAATTTCTACTTATTTTTTAATGTATAGTATATCTATAAATTATTTATTTTGTAATTTTACAGACTCGCCTATAAAGTAGGAAGATAAGTGATAGCCATCATATAGTCATGTAGATATAGGTACCTATTGTTCAATACTCACAGACCAGATAGTTAACTGTAGTTTATAAGACATTTTCTAGATATCTTAGGACTCTTAGGTATATTCACGGGCATCATGGCTGTAAATACAACATCAATTAGATATAAAATAGAATAGTAATATCTTTAATACAAAACTATGTTCATATCGATTTTATTCAAAAAAATTGGTTCCCGCGAAATAAATGCTTTTTGTGAACAGCAATTGGTCCTCATTATGATTTTGTGTTATTTAACAATAAAAAATGTAAATCATGGTGTATTTTAAGACAATTTATCTAGATTACTGAAAAATATATAAGTAGTTGGTATATCTTAATCTGTGGTACCTATAAATTATAACCAACTACAATTTATAGCTTATGTCGTCCTATTTAAAAATGCATCTTAATTGGTGATCCAGTGTGTTCATTAGTGACATTAAATGTTATTTTGCTTCACATTTTTAAATATTTAATGCCCTGCAAAAAAAAAAAAAAGTTTAAAAAAAAATATTATTTTCGTGGAAAATCGAGGATATCTGACATGCTCATTTTGAATGTCGATAACGCGGCTGTCGATAAAAAGATAAATTAAATAAATAATAAATGTCAAGTCCAAACTCATGGAATGACTCAGTAATGACTCGTTGTTGAGTCCAAAGTACATTATTATTACTATACAAATTTCAAATTATGCATGTTATGTCAAAGTGGTGGGAATATGGGCAACAATTAATAAAATAACTATTAATTATTATTATTATCATCATTTGGATAACGCGATGATTTATCGTTACATATTCATATTATGTGTAAATACAATTAATCAAAAAAATAATGTCAAATAGTCAAAATTCTCTGAGAGGGACTTAAAGCTTTATTTTTTAGTTTTTACAATTATAAACATGTATTACTTGTATCGCTTGTGTAATGTTTGAAGGGGATTCGTTGATGTTTAGGATTCCAGAAATTAGAAAGGTTAGCCATCCTCCACTCCTCCAGAACAGTCCCGCATGTATTTGTCACTGATTATAGCATAACCGTGCGTTAGTGCATATTTGTATTTTGAACGGAGGAGCAGGCAGACAGCACCAGTAGTGACGGGGAGTGAAGACAACGATTAAAAATTAAAAATTATTTTATAGGTAGGTAACATCTAATTATAGTAATTAGAATATTGTTATTGTAAGATATAGCCACGTAGGTACACATTACCATAATCTCATCGTCTTATCTCCCGCGTGACGGATGACGGTGTGTCGGTGACCGCGGCTGTTAATCTTAATAGTTAATTCTATGGATTCATTTGCTTGGTAATTTTTTACTCTACGTGACGACTGTGCCTTGCGATTATTTCCAATTAAAACGTATGTACCTACTTGCAATAATAGTTTTATCGGCCACTTATAAATCCTAACGGACATTGACGGTTCCGATATCGACGTTGTTAATTAAAGATCGAAAATCGAATCGCCCAGTCGAACATTCGATCGTTTTCGCTGTAAATCGTTGAAGATTTCTCGTCATTGACTACAGCTTGCTGTCACCGCATTCATAGTTTCACACGACTGAGTTTTGAAGAAGTTTCATTTTGTAGTACGGACATTGTACACTTGTTGCTTGTACTGTTCTCATAATATTATAATTGTGTTATTATTGTTACAGTTATAATTGATTACCGTGTAAGCTCACTTGATCAATTACTGTACGCGCCGTGCGAATTCTTTCATCATTATTTCACGTTCCTGTACAACCATGAAGTTCATTGAAGAGGTATGTTCTATGTATTTTTCATCTACTTTTATTGACTGTGTTATAGGTAAAGAGTTTATAATTATTATATTTAATAAAATACTTGTATTTCTCTAGATCAAACAAAGATTTGCCTCCACAGTTCATATCCGATGTGAAAATGATGTCAACACAAAGATTGAACGACTGGTGATGGACGGCCCAGACAAATTACAAGTAACATTGTTTCATATTATATAATAATATTGTGTATTTACTGTGTATCTTAATGTATTTCAAGATAATATCAGATTTTGATCGAACCATTTCTACTTCAGAATACAACAACAAACAAACTATGAGTAGTTTTAGTAAGTTGAAAGTTAAAAACAGATATATTATTAAATATTCCTTTATAATTAATGTTATAAGTATTTAGAATTTCTTTTTATCTTTTTTATCTTCTGATATATTTTTTTTGTTATTGAATATTTATATTAACATTTTTAGGCTATACAGTTTACAGATATTAAATAATTAATGTACCTACTTTGCTAAAAATTCTAATTTCATTTTTCAATTTTAAGTTAAATGGTTTTTTTTTAGATTTAAGTTTTAAAGCTAGTTTTATTTAAATTTGTAA